CTTGGGTGGTCAAAGCTGGTTTACACTCTTCTACGTGGCAAAGATCTTGAAGATTATCTCACTGTCTCTACCCCAGAAGAAGGAGAGATTGATGCTGCTATTTGGGAGAAAACTAATGCCAACGTACGGGTCTGGTTATGGGACTCTATGGATCCCAACATTAGCAGTACATGTTTATACATGGACTCGGCTAAAGAAATCTGGGATTTCATACAGCAGTCCTACTCTGTTGCTAAAGATGGCGCTTTTGTCTATGACTTATGGCTCAAAACAACGAATCTTAAGCAAGATTCACAATCTGTCACAGATTATGCAACTGACCTCCAACGACGATGGTCTGAACTTGACCAGTATCAAACGATGAAGTGGTCGAATGCTGCAGATGCAGCTCTTCACAAGAACTATATAAATCAGCAACGTCTATATTGCTTCTTGTCTGGTTTAAATCCCGAATATGATCAGACTCGGGGTCAAATTCTTGGCATTACTCCTCTGCCTTCCATATCTTCTGCCATTGCCACTATCAAACATGAAGAGAGCAGACACAATATAATGATGAATACAAATCTGATTGACAGTACAACTCTTGCTGCCAAATCTACTCCTTCAGATGTTAAGGAAACTAAGGGTAGTAAGGGAGGAAGATGGTGTGATCATTGCAAGCGGTCCAACCATAATGTGGATACATGCTGGAAACTTTATCCTCATCTACAGAAAGAAAGGAAAAGCCAAGACAGACGTGGAATGAGTGCTGGACGTGCCAACTCAGTCACTCCCACTATTGTTGAGAGCTCTACTAATCTTTGGCCCATTTCCCAAGAGGAATTAAAGCAAATTCGTATGATGTTACAGTCTCTTAATAACTCAAATGGTTCTGGTCATAGCTCTTTGGCCCTGCAAGGTAAAACCTCTAATATTTTTTGTCTTAATGCTTCGGAACAGAGTTCACAATCCCAATGGATATTAGACTCAGGTGCCACATCTCATATGACTGCCATACCCTCTTTACTCTCTAATTATCATCCATGTTTTACATCCACGCACATTACTACTGCTGATGGGACACCTACAAAGGTTGCGGGACTTGGTACAGTTGTTTTTTCTGAAAAATTAAATCTGAAAAACACCCTACATGTCCCAAACCTGGCTATGAACCTTGCTTCTATTTACAAACTCACAGTTGATCTTAATTGTGCTGCCATTTTTTTCCCTTCCCACTGTTTATTACAGGATCTACACACGGGGAGGACGATTGGAATTGCTAAACAAAGAGATGGCCTGTACTACCTTGATGCACTGTTTGTCTCCAAACCTCCACAAAAAGCTCTTACCACAATCACAGCCAATACCAACACTATTTGGCTTCACCACAAGCGTCTTGGTCATCCCTCTTTTCATGTCCTAAAAACCATGTTTCCCAGTCTTTTTAGTAGTATTGATGTTTCTACATTTCAATGTGATGTCTGTGAACTTGCTAAACAGTCTCGTGTATCTTTTTCCAGAAGTAATACAATCAGTTGTTCTCCTTTTGATATTATACATAGTGATGTCTGGGGTCCTGCTCCAATTGCTAATATATCTGGTGCCCGGTGGTATGTTACATTTATTGATGATTGTACACGTTTTATGTGGGTTTTTCTGCTAAAAAACAAGAGTGAGGTGAGTTCCATCATTCCTATCTTTTGCAATATGATTCATAATCAGTTCTCCGCCACAATAAAACGCTTCCGCACTGATAATGCTCTTGAATACTTCAATCAAACCGTTTCCTCTTATTTCCTCTCAAAAGGCATTGTTCATGAGTCCTCTTGTCCGTACACACCACAACAGAATGGCACAGCAGAAAGAAAAAATCGCCATCTCCTAGACGTCAGTCGGGCTTTATTGTTTCAATCAAATATGCCTAAACACTATTGGGGGGAAGCCACACTCACAGCATGTCATCTCATCAATAAAATTCCCAGTCGGGTACTCCAAAATAAGTCACCCCTTGAATCTCTCCGTCATTTCTTTCCTCAAACCAGAATTTCTTCTGATCTTGATCTAAGGGTGTTTGGGTGTACTGCATTTGTTCATATTCCTCCACCTCATAGGGGAAAATTGGACCCACGATCTATTAAGTGTATCTTTCTTGGTTATTCTCCAACTCAGAAAGGATATAAGTGCTATAATCCTACAACCAGAAAGACATACACCAGTGCAGATGTGACCTTTCACGAAGACACACCTTTTTACACTCCTACTTCTCTCCCTGTATCCCAAGATACTCCACATCCTTCACCTCTGCCCACCTATACTATTACATCTTCTCCACCACATACAATCTCCTACCCTCCTAAGCCTTTATCACCAGACATCCCATCACCACCACCACCACATGATCATCCATCACCTTCCTTAGATGTGTCAGCAACCTCACCTACTTCCCAACAGTCTTCAACATCACCTGAACCTCAATCAAATACACCACCAGATCATCCCATTCCTACACCTACTAAATCCACCACTCATGACCCATCTTCTCCTCTACCAGTGACAAAAGTGTACTCAAGGAAAAACAGGTTCACTCCATTGTTGACGCATGACCAATTGGCTGACCCAGGTAATGTCTCTTCTTCTCCACCACCATCTCCGCCAATTGCTTTACGCAAGGGTGTACGTCAATGTACCAAAACACCTCTATACCCTCTTGCTAATTTTGTTACCATTGATAACTTCTCTCCTTCACATGCCTTGTTTGTTCAGAGACTTAATGAAATTCCCATACCCAACTCTGTTTCTGAGGCATTAGGAAAGAAAGAATGGAGGGATGCTATGCAAGAGGAAATTAGAGCTCTTGAAAAGAACCATACTTGGGATATTGTGACTAAACCTCCTGGGAGGCATGTTGTTGGTTGCAGGTGGATCTTTACTGTCAAATACAAGGCTGATGGATCTCTTGAGCGGTACAAAGCTCGTCTTGTGGCTAAAGGATACACTCAGACGTATGGGATTGACTATCAAGAGACCTTTGCTCCTGTAGCTAAGCTCAATACTGTCCGTATCCTACTATCCTTGGCATCTCACTTTGATTGGCCTTTATTGCAATTTGATGTCAAGAATGCTTTTCTCCACGGTGACTTGCATGATGAGATCTACATGTACATTCCCCCAGGCTTTAATAAAACATCAACAAGAACCTCTACACATGTATGTCATTTAAAAAAAGCCCTCTATGGTCTCAAGCAATCCCCTCGTGCTTGGTTTGACCGCTTCACACAGGTTGTTCTTGCTGCTGGGTATAGTCAAAGCCAAGGGGATCATACTCTTTTTTACAAACACTCTCGCCCAAATGGAGTCACTATTCTTTTGGTATATGTGGATGACATCATTGTGACGGGTAATGATCCAGTTGAGAAACAACGTCTTGAGGGGCAGCTGAAATCCAAATTCGAGATGAAGTCTCTTGGCCCTCTAAAATACTTTCTTGGAATTGAAGTTGTTCGCTCATCTGAAGGCATCTTTATCAGCCAACAAAAGTACATTACAGATTTGTTAAATGAGACTGGTAAGAGTGCTTGTCGACCGGTTAATGCACCTATGGATCCTAATCACAAGCTTGGACTTGCTACTGATGAACCCAAGGTTGATTCATCAATGTATCAGCGCTTGTGTGGCAAACTTATCTATCTCTCTCATACTAGACCTGACATTGCCTATGCAGTTAGTGTTTTGAGTCAGTTCATGCATGATCCAAGGAAACCACATCTAGAAGCAGCCTATAGGGTTCTTCACTACCTAAAAGGAAGTCCAGGGCAAGGGATAATATTCAGGAAGGGTGGGCAATTATCAGTCCAAGCCTTCACTGATGCAGATTATGGTGGCTCCCTCGTTGACCGCCGGTCAACTACTGGTCTCTGTGTTTTCCTAGCAGGAAACCTCGTGACATGGAGAAGCAAAAAACAGAATGTTGTGGCACGATCATCTGCTGAATCTGAGCTAAGAGCTCTTGCCCATGGCTTATGTGAACTTCTATGGATCAGAATTATTCTCTTAGATTTACGAATCAAGTGGAAAGGACCAATGGAATTGAGGTGTGATAACAAATCAGCAATCAACATAGCTCATAATCCAGTCCAACATGATCGGACCAAGCATATTGAGATTGATAGGCACTTTATCAAAGAAAAGGTTGAAGGAGGTCTGATCGAACTAAGCTACACTCCCTCAGAAGATCAAGTTGCAGATGTGTTTACCAAACCTCTGCACAGTCCTAGGTTCCAGGGTCTTATTGTCAAGCTAGGCATGACGGATATCTACAAACCTAGCTTGAGGGGGAGTGTTGATAAAACGAAGAGACATCATTAATCTAGGATTTATTTTCCTTATTATTACTGTAATTATGTATCTTTAGTGCTTCAGGTTGTATTTAATAGCTGCTGTCTTTTCAGTTCTCAATCATTTATGTTTAGTATTTAGACAGTCACCTAGGGTGCTGAATAGACTCTCTCAGGATTCCTATCTGTATAAATAGCTTATGTACTTCTTGTAAATGAATTCAAGGAAATAATATTCAGAAAACTTCAAATTTGAAATTTTTTTAGAAGTTAATTTTATATTGAGTTTCAATTTCCATCATTTGCAATGGAGCCAAAGACTCACTTTTTTTTTTGGCTTGGGAATACGATGGAATAAAGCAAAATGGTTCACTAAACTGCCTGCACTTCTTTGCTATGAAGGAGCAGTCCATGCAATTTTTGACTCTATTTTCACTCTGGGTCATCCGGAGACACTCTCTTTGTGCTTTAGTATTTGAGTAAGACTGCGTACATTCGATTCCTCTTACCCCACCATAGGTGGGAGCCTTTGCGGCACCGGGGAAATGATGATGATGATGATATTTATTGAGTTTCAACCAATGTCTCATTTTTCCTCCTCATTTTCTGTCTCTAGCATTATCAAAGATTCAAAGAGACCCTTAAAAAATAACATGTGTGCCATTTCCATGCTTCTTTCTCTAGATGATCGCAATCTTACTTTCAGGTGGTTGGAAAAAAGTATGTAAGGCTTTACTCTTCTCGTCTCTCAGAAGAGCTTTACCCACACATTGAGACCATGCTCTGCAATTCCAGCCAGGTAATACTCTTTCCGGTTTTTGCTATGTGATCATGGTTATATGTATGTGTGTGGTGTGTATATACCACCACATTGAAAAGTGCTACTGTTCTATGATGGTCAAGCTTGTCAATGACGCGCCATGTGCCATGAGGCGCGGAAATGGCCTCTGCGCCATAAAATAGGCCGTGGATGTCGCCATGTGCCATATTTGCGCCATCGCCATGGGAAATGGCTTGTGCACCATGGATGTCGCCATGCGCCATGACAACTATGATGATGGTTCATTTTGTCACTCGTCTGGCCGGTCCTGACGTTTCCGATACAATATACAAAGAAAAGCCCCCTAAAGATATCATAAAAATCTTTAACAAAATATTCATTGTAAAAAATAAAACTCAATACATAAAATTAAGTGTTTCTTCAATAAAAATATAAGAAATCATAAAAATCATTTTTTTGGATGCTCTTAGATGAAAAATCATCTATGACGGTATAAAGATTGATATTATGCATCATGTTCAACCTTTTTGTGACATTGAAGACATCAAGTAGGTCCACAATAGTTACAACTTTCAGAATCTCCTCCTCTGTCACAGGAGCAACAAAATTTTGTAAGAAATGGAGACATTAGGATATCGATCCAATTCATACATATTCTTTTTTGAATATTTATCAACATATTAATTCTATAGCTCACTGTTGTGAGTGATAAAATGTAGACCTCAATTGAATCTGTAAGTCCTAGTAAAAAATAAATTGATTTATAAGCATTGATTCAATGGATGCTAGATTGAATCAACTAACGAAATAGATCAAGCTGTACAACTCACTTGTAGTATAAAATCTATAGATGAGTAGATGAATGGATTTAATCAACATAAGTCAATTTACCATTGTTATAGTTGATTATTCATAGATTTCTTCTGAGTTCAGATGCAGCGTGAGTTGTAGGCTTTCAAAATTTCAAGTCTGATTTTTGGCTCTTGGGAGCTTTTGATTTCCGTAGACAGTAGCTTCATTCTGTACTCCCGTGAGTGTGTAAGTCTGAGTCTGTGTTTAAGCCAGGTGTGGGGTTTGCTTTTTATACTACGTAATACATATAATGAGCCCACGACAGTGGCCTAGGTTGCCCCTATACCTGACTGGCGCTGCATACCTGCTCAAGAGGAATACATGTCTTCTTAAGTGTTTTACACATATTACCAATTGCATTCATTGGAATTAGTCTAATGCTTTTCTGACCAAATGCTGTCTAATATGTTTGAAGGTGGATCTGGACAATATAGATGAAAGCCAATTTCCAAAAATGATAGATCTTGAGTTCCAAGATTGCATCTTAGAGGAAGGAGAGATGCTTTACATACCCCCAAAATGGTGGCATTATGTACGCTCTGTCACTACAAGTTTTTCTGTTAGTTTTTGGTGGAGCAGCACTGATGATAATAATGCATCAGATACCTAAATATTTTCTTTAATCACCTGTAGGCTTTTTGGTACACAAAGATACATCCGCAAAACAATTTCACGGAAAGATGCCAATGTGGTTTTGGCTGTACCATGCATTGCCATGATAAACCCAGAACTGGTGTAGGAATGTATAATCAATACACTTTTGCCTAGGGATGGACTCAGCTCGGGCCGGGCCTGCTCATGGCGGGTTTGGGTACTACAAAATTCAGGCCCGGTACCGGCCCGGTTTGTATCGGTATCGGTTCCGGTCCGGGTACCCGGCGGGGCCACAGTCCGGTCCCGGGCCGGGCTGGTCGGGAACATTCCTTCTTTGTCCTTTCACCATTTGAGAACGTCAAAGTCATCCCCTTCTTCATACTGACAAAGAAATGTTAGATATAATGAAAGCTCATTAATCAATCTTTGTGCAACAACGAGAGTTGATTTTTTTTCTTTATAAGATTACCAAATGTAGATTTGAAAAATGATTTTCCTTTAGATGAAGAAGTAGTTGGTTTCGAGGGAGAGGGTGCATTACCGTAATGTGCATGAAACTCATTAAATATTTAATGAAATAAGTTACTAACTTCGTTGTATTGCTCTTTAGGATCTGTGGGCTTATCTTCATACATAGGTAATGGACCGAAAAAACAAGTATAGTAGTACTCAAATGCGGGAACAAAGGTAATACCATATATAGGCGGAATTAAAGTATATTATTCTAAAAACTTTTCTTTTATGAAATCACAAAAATAAGAAGCAATGGTCATCAGAAAATTTAGTAAGAGTATCAGTGTGATAGAATTGTTTTCTGGTTTTAAGTCATTTCTAGATGCGGGAAGGATTGTCTGAGTAGATACTTTTCTTTTCTCTTGAGATTTAGTTTGAGTTGTTGTCTCGAGATTAACGGCTTCAACAAAAAAACAGTTTGACGTAGGTTTAAGTCTGAGGTTGATTTGGTTCCAATGCAAAATAGATGGAATCGTGTGCAAAATATCCATCTTAATAACGGTTCGGTTCTTATAAATTTTTATAGAACAGATATGGAACTGAACCATTCTTAACGGTTTAGTTCTTGTCATTTAACGGTTCCTAGTTTTTAAAAAATTTCTTACAAATCACCATTAAATTTGTGTAAAAAAAACATTCGACGTTTGAAATTACAAGAAATACAAATATGTGTACCATCATTTCAAACCTCAAAATCTGAGTTTAAAAATATAAATACATACCAAATTGAAAATTTTAGTAAATTAAAAAAACAACATTCACTAGGCCTGACAAAAAATAATTACGATCCTGAATCAACAATGTAATTAGCTGACAAAAAGGATCATTTATCTCAAAGCTCACGAGCAGAGCACTCAATTACAACCATCTAGCCCTTTAATAAGAGGCCTAAGAGTAGGGGTGGACTCGGGCCGGGCCAACCGGCCCGGAACCGGACCGGCTCGCTAGGAGTGGACTCGGGTTGGGCCAACCGGCCCGCAACTGGACCGCCCCGCTACTGTGCGGGCCCGGACCGGCCCGGTTAGGCGGTTAATTCACGGTTCGGGCCACCCGGCCCGTTCTTCAAGCAGTTCGGTCCTGGGCCTAGATTTTAGTGAACCGGGCCGGCCGGGCCGGTCCCGGTCCGGACCTCAACGGTAACATTTTTTTTAAATAATAGAAGGCTCCATAGCCGTTGGGAGACCTATTTATACAAAAAAACCTATTTATACTCCTATTTTCTATACAATTTTTACACCTCTTCTTCTACAACTCTTCCTACTCTCTAAATTCTCTATTCTCTCAATCTCTCATATTCAATCATCTTCATTCTTCATCTTCTCCAAATTCTTTCTACATATATATAATTTATATAATTGTTATATCAACTTATATATTAATTATCTACTTATCAATATATACTTATACACATTCATATTATAATTCTTTACATATTATATTATATATACTATATATAGTTATACATTATATTATATATTACTTATAATATATTTACACATTATATATTTATATATACTATATATACTTATACTCATTGACTTCTCGTTTATATACTATATTCTTTACACATTATATTATATATACTATATATAGTTATACATACATTTTATAAAAGTAGTTAATTGTTAGACTTCTCGTTTATCTATTAAATTACTTAATTGTTTCATTTGTCATATTAATATTAGTTAAAGTAGTTAATTGTTTCATTTGTCATATTAATATTAGTTAAAGTAGTTAATTGTTTCATTTGTCATATTAATATTAGTTAAAGTAGTTAAAGTTAATTGTTTCATTTGTCATATTAATATTAGTTAAACTACTTAATTGTTACATTTCTCATATTAATATTAGTTAATTGCTACATCGCTCATTAAAGTAGTTAATTTTTACATTTCTCATATTAGTTAATTGCTACATTGCTCATTCAAGTAAAAAAAAAGTAGTTAATTTTTACATTTCTCATATTAGTTAATTACTTAATTGCTACATTTTTACATTTCTCATATTAGTTAATTGCTACATTTCTCATTAAAGTAAAAAAAAGTAGTTAATTTTTACATTTCTCATATTAGTTAATTGCTACATTTTTACATTTCTCATATTAGTTAATTGCTACATTTCTCATTAAAGTAAAAAAAAAGTAGTTAATTTTTACATTTCTCATATTACTTAATTGCTACATTTTTACATTTCTCATATTAGTTAATTGCTACATTTCTCATTAAAGTAAAAAAAGTAGTTAATTTTTACATTTCTCATATTAGTTAATTGCTACATTTTTACATTTCTCATATTAGTTAATTGCTAATATTTGTTCAATTTTAAAGATGGAGCGTGGTAGACATTCTGTAGATGTGGGTAATCTCCAACGCAACCGCAAGAGGGAGATTGCATCGACTCGATCTACTTCACGCAAAGGCAAAGATAAAGCGCGAGCCGAGTCTTCTTTTCAAAGTTGAGATGATTTTGAAACGGATTACCAACGGCGAGATGATATGATGATGTCCGACGAGCAACTACAACACCTATTGTCCCAAAATGATCCACGTTTTGCACAAGAACAACAATTCCCGACAACCATCGATGAAGAGGAGCTCGAGGATGACGATGCGGAGGAGGACGCGGGGGGGCGACGGGACTCCGGATGATGAGCAAGAGTTGGAGGACGAGGGCCGTTCAACGACTACAACCCAAATTGGTAAGAAATCTAAATCTCCTATTATTGAAAACAATTATACAAAAAGGAAAGACGAAAAAACCGAAAAATGGTACGCAAGTTGCAATCATTGCAAGAAAGAGTTTAGCTTGGGAACTTCTGGCGGATACGGGAGTCTCAAAAGACATCTTCAGTCCGCCCACTTTGTGGAGTATGCGAAAATAGACAAAGACAATGGGAAGCAAACACAAATATCGAGGTTTGCAAATTCTCAACCCTTTGGTAATTTTTCCTATGATGATAAAAAACATTTGACTGGTATGTCTCATTTAATTGTTGAAGAAAATTTACCCTATATTTTTTCTGAAAGTCTTGCTTTAAGAGATTATGCTCAAGGCACTTTAAATCCTCAATTTAGAAATTATAGTCGCAAAACGATTAAAAAAGAAGTTATAAGGCAATATAACTTGGAAAAAGAAAAATTACAAATATTTTTCGCATACTTTGATGGACGTGTTAGTATTTGTAGCGATATATGGGAGGATACTTATCATCATTTATATTATTTGGGTCTTACTGCACATTATATTGATGATTGGAATATGCATAAACATGTTCTTGCTTTTCGTGAATTCAATGATCGTCACACTGCTGATAATATTTATATTCTCATTGAACGTATTTTAATTGAGTATAATTTGATTGATAAGGTGTTTACTGTAGGTTTTGATAATGCTAGTAATAATACTGCTGCTATACCTAGATTACGTGAATTGTGTGGTGCTTCTACATTGATGGGTAGGTTTTTTCATCAACGTTGTGCGTGTCATATTCTAAATTTGTGTGTACAAGATGGCTTAGCGGCATTAGGAAATGCTTTGGAGGTAGTGAAGGCGGAATTAAATTGATTTGGGCTAGCACTCCACTAAAAATGCAATGGCGGTAATATTTGAAGGATAGACGTGTCAATTATTGTGCTTTTCCTAAAGATTTGTCTATTCGTCGGAATAGTACTTATAATTTAATTCAAGTACTTGTTAGATATAAAGATCATTTTCCAGCTTTTTTAAAACAAACTTGTAACTATATTATAAACCCGGCTGACATCGACACTTGTGAACAAATTGTTAATGTTTTGGCATATTTTAATAACGCAACTCTAACTTTTAGTCATGTTTATAAACCTACCGCAAACGAATTTTTTGTTGAAGCTGTTAATCTCGCTGGCGCTTTTTGTGAATTTTCCGAAGCCACTTACGTTAGTTATTTTTGTGATTTCATGAAACAAAAGTTTTTAAAATATTATTCACATATTCCGCATATATATGGTATTGCATTTGTTCTTGATCCTCGTTATAAACTTGCTTACTTGGCAAATTGTATAGATTACTATTATGCTTTTTTTTTCAACTCAAGAGTTCGATGATAATCCCATCGACCCTAAACAAGAATTCAACGAGGTTAGTAGTTTATTTCATCAATTGTATAATGAATTTCATGCACAATATGGTAATGCACCGAACATCTTCTTCATCTAAAGGAAAATCACTTTTAAAATCCGCTTTTGGTTCTCTTTTGAAAAAAAGTAGAGCAACTCCCGCTACTGAACAAAGCTCAGGTAACGAGCTTTCTTTGTATCTAACATTGAATGTTGATTATGAAGTTGGTGATGACTTTGACGTTCTTAAGTGGTGGAAGGAAAATGAAAGAACATTCCCGATTTTATCAAAGATGGCTAAGCAAGTGCTAGCAATGCCGATATCAACCGTTGCCGTGGAACAAGAATTTAGTGCGGCCGACAACGTCCTAACCGATTATAGAACGAGGTTGAGCCCGAGCTCTCTTGAAACACTAGTTTGCTTTCACGATTGGTTGAAGGCCCAACGAAGAACTCAAGAAATTACCATCACTTCCACCCGCCACTTTATGGAGGAAACAACCGAAGGCGGAGATTCCGATTGTTTTTTTTATTACAAAATGTATTACATTTTTTAAATTCATCCTAATTCTCAATTGTACTTCTTATTTGAAATAAATATACTTGAATTCGAATATAATATATTGTAATTGTAATAAGAATTATTCTAATAATATAATATATAATAAAAAAAAATTAAAAGGCCCGGCCCGTGAACCGGGCGGGTGACCCGAACCGAACTGGACCCGGGGTTATCCGGGCCGGTTCCGGGCCTGCCTTCCGTGAACCGAGGCCCGGACGGTTCTAGGCCCGAACCGAGTCCACCACTACGGCCCGCTACTGTGCGGACCCGGACCGGCCCGCTACTGTGCGGGCCCGGACCGACCCGGTGAACCGGTTGGTTGGCCGGTTCGGGCCACCCAGCCCGGTGGGATGTCGGTTCGGGCTCGGGCCCTTCAAAAGGTGAACCGGCCCGGCCGGTTCGGACCCGGTCCGTGCCATT